TGACTGTATATCACGGCACTAAGAAGGACCGGGCTGTGATAAGGAGGTATGAGTGGCCGACATGCAGGTTGGAGCCGACAAGGCAGAGTTGCATTATCAATAGGCAGAAAGCTGAGGAGGTGAGGGAGGGAATACTGGGCGTTGATTCGCTTGAAACGCTCGGGAGAAGTCTGAGGATCTTGTTTCTGGAATTTACAAGGAGCAGAGGAGGGATAGTTTTTAGTGGGAGTGTTGTCATTTTCTGGGAATTTACAGTGAAGTGTTTTCTTATACGGTAAGGCTGTTTGATGGTAGACTATCGTGTCCGTGTGGAGGGAGGGATGCTCATTTGATCCGGGTTCGATTCCCACAGCGGTCGTTTTAGTTCCCCAAGTTCGACGTATTGATATGCAGCTATGAGACCTTATCAGCTGAGCTTGACAACTTTACCGCATTCCAGTGGTGTGCTGGGGTCTTCGATGAAGCACACAGATTAAAGAGTGTGGGCAGTAGGATGAGAGAGGCCTGCTCGAGGGTGCCCTGCCTCAGCCGCTTCCTTCTCACGGGTAGGTTAACGCGAGTAGGAGTGACTGAGCACAGCTGAGGGAATCAGCACAGAATCAGAGGAGTTTCGCCCTAGTGATATGAAAAATTTCATATTTCACGGCTACTGCGGAGTGTGAATATCATCGCGTTTTTCATGGAGTTTTACACCAGTTCACGTAAAACAAGTGAAGATCCAGTGAGGTTGTTTTAGGCACTCCGATTCAGAATAACATTGGGGAGATGTGGTCCCTGCTGAATCTGGCTAATGAGACTTTGTGGCCAGAGGATGGGCGGGAGGCATTCTTGGAGACCTATGGTGATATGAAGGATGGGCAGACGGCTTTGAAGCTGAAGAAGGAGGTAGGTCACCGAGAGCTAGTCTAGGGAGGGGAAAATGTGCACATGTGTTGGTAGGAATATGGAAATTGTGAGGAAATTATCGGTGGTTTTTGTATACTTCTACGCCAAAATTTTGTGTGGATTTTCATAGTAAAGTGTAGTTGAGGAAAGCTAACATATATTCCCGCGCTGTTGGCACCGTGTGCTG